GATCTACCATACTAGCAGTATATAAATATATTCAAGATATTCTAAAGATATTAAACAATAAAGAATATGCAATAGGAATACTCTTAGATATGACCAAAGCATACGATAAGTTACAATATAATATATTACTTGATAAATTAAATATTAGTGTTCGTGGGATTAGTTTAGAATGGTTCAAATCATACTTACAAGATAGAGAACAATATGTATAAATAGAATACTTTGATAATTATAAAATAGTAAAAGTGAGATCAAATAAAATAATTGTAAATGCTTCAATACCAAAAGGTAGTATATTGAGATGTTTATTATTTTTAATATATATTAACAATCTCAGTGAAACTGTGGTTAACCCATGTGTTATGTTTGCGGACGATATCTCTATCTTAGCACCTTGTCGTGACGTAAATAACGTAAATAATATATTATATAAAATATTTAAAAATACCGACCAATAGATGAAAGAGCATAACCTGGAAATAAACTACAAAAAAAAAAACAAAAATTTTGCCAAAAAACCCGAAATCACAAAAACAAAAATCGAGACAGTAAATGAGCACACTCTACTCGGCATAGATTTGGATAGTCACATCAACTGGAAATCTCACGTTCAGAAAATTCGTAACAAATTGTTTAGTTTTGTATATGCCCTAAGTGAAATAAAAAAGACAACTGATCTCCAGACCGCGTTAATTACTTACAATGCCTATCCACAGGCGTGGCTAAGGTACGGTATTATCCTGTGTGGTAACAGTACAGATGCAACCATCATCTTCATATTACAGAAAAAAACTAATTTGTATTATGTGTAACATAGAAAGAACTGAAAGTTGTCCTCATCATTTTAAAATAACTTAAACTTCTTACCTTAATTTGTATTTATATATTGGAATTATGCAAATTTGTGCGCAAATACCCTAATTTCTACGTAAAAAGCGAAACTAAAATTACGGCTTATAGTTTAAGACACGGAAATAGATTATTCCTACCAACTTCTAAAATGAAGCTATTTTCCTCAGGCCCTTACATAATGTCAAAAACTGTCTATAATAAACTACCAAACTTATTAAAAAACGAAACAGATGATCACATTTTTATAAGACAATTAAAAGTGTTTCTAATCAATAAATGTTATTATACTTTATATAAATACCTGAATGACAAATGTAATAATGATAATGAAAACTATAAATAAATGAATGAATAACACGAATAATGATAGTATAATAATAGGGAATAATATAATAATTAATATGAATAATAAATAAAACATTTTGCGTCCTGCTCTGTTCTAATTTGCTATACCCGACAGGGTCCATATTGTGAAAATTGAATATTATTAATTTCTACATTATGGAATGCAAATAAATATATTGTATTGTATTATATTGTATTGTGTTTACGGTTACAGATGCCTCATGCTCTCTTAATAAAATAAAATAAATATTTACCCACGGTAGCTAACTGTGAAGGATGGTGGTAAGAATCACCATTCAAATGTGATGCCAGTATGGCTCAAGGTGTTATCAGGATTCGGAATTACTAACACACCTGGAAAAGCTAAGGAATTGTTTGCCTCTAACTCTTATTTTTATAGAAGAAGGGGCAAACGAGCATGTGGCTCACCTGATGTTAAGTGACTACCGCCGCCCATGATCAACCGCAACACCAGGAGAATTGCGGGTGCGTTGCCGGCTCTTTAGAAAGGAGTAAGCTCTTTTCTTGAAGGTCCCCAGGTCGTATCGGTCCGGAAAAATCGCCGGTGGTAAACTATTCCACAGAGAGGTTGTACGTGGAAAAAAAATCCTTGTGAAACGTACAGTGGTGGACCGCCAAGCATCCAGATGGTGTGGATGATATCGGGACGTTTGACGTGTAGTGCGTTCACTAAATTTGGCGGCTGGGATTAATCCGAATAATTCCTCAGAGCACTCCCCGTGATAGATGCGATAAAATACGCAAAGAGATGCAACATCTCTTCGCAGCGCCAGTGAATCGAGCCGATCGGAAAGCACTCGGTCGTCGACGATTCGAGCCGCTCTGCGCTGGATGCGGTCAAGTGGAAGAAGCTGGTACTGGGGAGCCCCAGCCCAGAGATGGGAACAGTATTCCATGTGCGGCCGAACCTGCGCCATGTAAAGTTGCAAGCGGTGTGCCGGCATGAAATACTGTCCCGCTCTGCTGAGCACGCCAAGCTTTTTAGAGGCCAATTTGGCCTTCTCTTCCAAGTGACCACGAAACTGCACGTCACTCGATATGTCGACGCCGAGGATTCCGATACTGGCTGAGGCAACAAGGGGAGTGCCTTGAAACTGAGGGGATACGACAAAGGGGTTCTTTTTAGCGGTTAACGCGCAAACTTGTGTCTTCTGGGGGTTAAACTGGACTAGATTTAGTCGCCCCAAATCGTCGACTCTGTCCAGCAGAGACTCGACTTCAGACACAAGTTTGTCCCGGCACTCGGAGACGTTTTCCTGAGAAATATTGGCTCGGCCGGTGTAAAGAGCATCACCAGTGCTGTCATCTGCATAGCAATGAATGTTACGGGTACGCAACATGTCATTGATATGCAGAAGAAACAGCGTTGGCGATAGCACACAGCCCTGTGGAACACCAGCATTAATAGGCTTGCAATCGGAGCTTGCACCGTATACAACGATCTTGATGCTCCGATCTGCAAGAAAGCTGGTGATCCAATCGCACAATTTCTCGGGAAGCCCATAGGAAGGGAGCTTCGAAAGAAGCGCTTTGTGCAAACCCGATCGAAGGCCTTCGCAATGTCCAAACTAACGGCCAATGCCTCCCCCTTGAACTCTACTGCCTCCGCCCATCTGTGAGTTAGGTAGACCAGAAGATCACCAGCTGACCGACCACGGCGAAAACCGTATTGGCGGTCACTAATCAGCTGGTGATCTTCAAGGTACCTCATGAGCTGGCAGTTTACAATGGACTCCATTGTTTTGGAGAACAAGGAGGTGATGGCGATTGGCCGGTAGTTGGACGGGTCAGAGCGGTCGCCTTTTTTAGGGATCGGGTGGACGTAAGCCGTCTTCCATGATTTTGGGACTACGCCTAGGGAGTAGGAGTACCGGAAAAGACGCGTTAAAACCGGTGCCAACTCTGGAGCACACGTCCTCAGCACAATTGGGGGGATTCCGTCAGGCCCACTCGACTTGTGGATGTCCAGGGAGAGGAGTGCTTTGCGAACCGAGCGTTGTGTGAAGTGCACTTCCGGCATGGAGCACTCACACCGCGGGATGGTCGGCGGAGTACTCCCCCCGTCATCGAGAGTCGAGTTAGACGCAAAAAAGCCTAGAAGATCGGCTTTCTCCTTTGCGGTATGGGCCAGTGAGTCGTCCTCCCTGTGCAGAGATGGAAGAGATGGCTGACAGAAATTCCCCTGGACAGCCTTGGCGAGAGACCAGAATGCACGGGTTCCAGAAGGAAGGCGAACTAGTTTCTCGCCAATTCTGCCTATGTGCTCTGACTTTGCCTTGGCAATGACTCTTTTAAAGGACCTAGAGGCGGAATTATACTTCTTTTTTAGAGCGCTGGTGTTTACATCCCGGGACGCTGATGCATCAGCCCAGGCTTGATAGCACTCCTGCTTATAGCATGATGCTATTTTACAGGAGCGACCAAACCATGGCTGAGACTTGCCTCCAATGGGCACCACAGAGGAAGGAATAAAAAGTTCCATACCCTGAAGTACCACATCAGCAACAGAGTCCGCAACAACGTTGGGATCATCCGGTGAGAAGCAAACCCGCCCCCAAGGGTAGGATGCAAAGAAAGACCGCATCCCATCCCAATCGGCTGACCTATAGTGCCAAACACGGCGGCAGCCTGCAGAATGCAACCGCGATTTCAGCGTGAGTGGCACCACACTCCGGACCAGACAATGGTCCGAGGAGCCTAAAGGGGCGTCGACGGAAATCTGATATCCGTCCGGGTGAGAGGTCAGCAGAAGGTCCAACAGGGAAGGTGCATGATCCTCCACATCTGGAATCCGCGTAGGAGAAGTAACCAGTTGTGTCAGACCATATGCCAAGGCAAAATCATGAACAGATCTCCCCGCATGATCGGTTAAACGTGAACCAAGCCATTCGGCGTGATGGGCGTTAAAGTCGCCGAGGATCACGATTTCTGCGGTGGGGATCTGCTGTAGCAACGAATCTGCAGCCATTTGGACGTGGTCGAAGAGTCGTTCTGTTTCGGCATTACCACCATGGGACCTATGGAGGCACCCGTAGATGCGCGGATGGTCGTCGCTGTCTACGCGTAGCCAAAGGATGGACAGGTCCGAACCTTCAAGTCTGCCGAGGCGTCGAGAGCAGATGTCCTCTCTGACGTAAACGCAAACTCCAGCCCGAGGCACAAAGGAGTGTTCCAGTTTGTACCCCGGGTAGGAGAGATACGAGACATCAGCCGGAGAGGACACCTGCGTCTCGGTCAGAAAGAGCAGAGCCGGCCTCGCCGTCTCGAGATGGTAGTGGACGGCGTTTAGGTTAGAGTGAAGTCCCCTGATATTGCAGAAATTCACGGACAGCGTGGCAGGGGTCGCCTTGGTCTTGTTGTTCCGTTTGCCCCGAGCACCGACGCTCAGAAGTGGAGAAACATGGTCGTGGATGCTCAGCGAGGGATTCTCCAGGGGGAGCTGGTATCCTCCTGGGGTAGTCGATCATTATTTAATTCCGCTACCATGTTGATGGGGGGGGGGATTTGGGCCTCCGGCTACCTGCACTTACCAGACGAAACGCGGAAGCAGAGCTTACACTTCACGCCGGTATTCTGTGAGGTCGTGTTACCACCCCGGTTTGAGCCGGCCCATACGTGCAACAGCAAAGCTGCCGCGTGGCTCTACCACTGTTAAAACTCCATTGTGAACTGAATTTTAGAATTTATAGAGATAAGATGGTCTGTAGAAATAGAAATAGAAATAGAAACTTTTTCATTCAATGTAGATTATAAATATACTTATTGAAAGTCACTTTTTTAATTTACCACTGGTTCGCAAAAAAAAATGCAGTTACTTTATCTAAAGGTATAATTGTGAAAGTGTCGTCTACGTACCGCTTGTAGAATTTTGGATTTATGGGAGAAGTAAGCAGGGCTTTCTCCTCAAAGTCTTCCATGAATATGTCGGCGACAATGGGAGATACAGGTGAGCCCATCGCCACACCATCTACTTGCTTATAGAACTCCTCCTTCCACAATAAGTAGCCAGATGTAAGGCAGTGTCTGAATAATGCTGCATATTCTACGGGCATGTTGTTTTCTTCCAGCTTTCTAGTTACAATTGAGATGTAGTCTTCAACAGGTAATCATGTAAACAATGACTGCACATCAAAACTGACCATAGTTTCATTGTCTGCCAGATGTAGGTCTTTAATCTCGCTGACAAACCTGTATCTTCCATTGTCGCCGACATATTAATGGAAGACTTTGAGGAGAAAGCCCTGCTTGGGATCCTATAATAAATAAAATTAAATCCCAACCCAAGCATACAACTGCAAGACTTCAAGATACCATAAGTTCATACTGTGTAACAAAAGTTAAATTTTAATCTTTGGTAACCGCGGTTAACTATGACATCCGTACGTTGAACATTTCAGTCCCGCCCGTGAACATGAGTGCTGTAAAGCGTTCGAAACGTCGGGTATTTAAAAAGTTAAATATACGCGATAAATTCAGTAAAAACTAGTATTATTTCAATGTGTATTGTTTGCGTAAATATAAGAAATCATTATGTAAACCAGTACGGACTAATAATTGCAAATAAAATACGCTGATTAGAAGACTTAAAGACCAAGCGCGCAAGACATCTAACAGCCTTAGATTTCTTGAAGAGGTGCCGAGACCATAATCTCATTCCTACGTGTGTCAAAATATCAACCAAAAGGGACATTCGAGGAAGCGCTAAGATCTTAAATCAGGCGAGTAAAAAGTTGTTACGGACGGTAATCCAACAAAAACGCTCCGATCTATATGACATAAATAAATCCATAGACACATCATGCAGTAAATTAAAGAAAGTTCTAACAATGTTTGATTATAATTTTTGCATGGAAACAATAAATAAACGCGAAATTAGTAATTATATCGAATGTAAAAACAAACACATAGAAAAATATCAAAAATTAACGACCTAGTCTAATGTCAAACATCTGAATCAATGCCAGAACCAAAAGCAACCATTGACAAACAAAGATCATAGATTAATTGCGCTCTATAATCTGTCAAAACAATCACTGGATGATGCAACAATTAGGGTTTTATCCAAAGGCCTCAATTTTGCTATTACACCACGCAAATTACCGTACGAAGAAATTATCTGTAGTTTCGAGTACTGTTTATTTAAAAACAATATGCGGAAAGAAGATTTGGAGGCGATACGTCAAGACATTTCATCTATGTTACGTCGATATTCAGTGCCTAAACTGAATCTTCCCAAAGAAGAATTTATAGCGTTAAAGAACCTACGTAATAAACCAGAACTTACGATTATCCGCGCAGATAAGGGAAAAGCCACATTAGTCATGGATACGTCAGATTATAATTCTAAAATACAAAAATTTTTGTCGGATGTAAGTACTTATAAAAAGGTTAAAAACGACCCAACAAGTAGCACACTAAAAACAACTTGTGACCTCATAAAGAAACATTCCGAAAAATTAAATCTGGACGTAAAATGGATAATACCTACGTGTGCCAAATCACCAAAATTGTATGGGTTACCAAAAATACACAAGCCCAATGCTCCATTACGTCCCATAGTGAGCCAAATCGATTCACCAACTTACAGATTGGCTCAACACTTAGCGAAAATACTCTCACCGCTCAGAGGACATACAAGAGCACATATAAAGGATTCCTATCATTTTGTCAGCGAGATTAAAGACCGACATCTGTCAGACAATGAAACTATGGTCAGTTTTGATGTGCAGTCATTGTTTACATGCTTACCTGTTGAAGACTGCATCTCAATTGTAACTAGAAAGCTGGAAGAAAACAACATGCCCGTAGAATATGCAGTATTTCTCAGACACTGCCTTACATCTGGCTACCTATTGTGGAAGGAGGAGTTCTACAAGCAACTAGATGGTGTGGCGATGGGCTCACCTGTATCTCCCATTGTCGCCGACATATTCATGGAAGACTTTGAGGAGAAAGCCCTGCTTACTTCTCCCATAAATCCAAGATTCTACAAGCAGTACGTAGACGACACTTTCACAATTCTACCTTTAGATAAAGTAACTGCATTTTTAGACTATCTTAACTCTATAAATTCTAAAATTCAGTTCACAATGCAGTTAGAGGCAAACAACTCCTTAGCTTTTATAGATGTGTTAGTAATACGGAATCCTGATAACACCTTGAGCCATACTGGCATCACATTTAAATGGCGATTCTCACCACCATCCTTTACAGTTAGCTACCGTGGGTAAATCTTTGTTTCAGAGAGCACGAGGGATCTGTGATAGTAAACACCTGGCTGCCGAGCCACCACCATGTCAAGCAAGTTTTGCATGACAACAAGCTTCGGGTCCCGCGCCTACGTCACAGTGAACGAGTGGAGCCGGCCACAGTCGCGCGTGTACCCGCTGTACTGCCATATATTAGAGGAGTCACTGACAAGATTGGCTACATCTTGAACCGTGCTTCCATCAAAACATACTTCAAGCCGCTGAAGAAGTTTGGTCAGTTTTTACCATCAGTCAAGTGTAATGTCCCTCTGCAAGATGCAGGAGTATACAAGCTTGATTGTGAATTTGGTCTCTCCTACATAGGACAAACTAAAAGGTCAATTAAAACCCGCGTTAAAGAACATATAGCTGATGTGAAGAACCACGCCCCGGGAAGTCTGCAGTCTGTGAACACGTACAGGATCGCCCCCGTCACTACATCAGATTTGATATACCACAAATCCTCGCTAAAGAACATCGATTCCTTCCAAGGATGATCCGCGAGGCTATTGAAATCAAAAACATCCTAATTTCAATAGAGAATATGGCTGGGTGCTACCATCTGCTTGGGATCCTATAATAAATAAAATTAAATCCCAACCCAAGTCGTACAACTGCAAGACTTCAAGATACCATAATTTCATACTGTGTAGATCGGAACAAAAGTTAAATTTTAATCCATGGTAACCGCGGTTAACTATGACATCTGTACGTTGAACATCTCAGTCCCGCCCGTGACCATGAGTGCTCTAAAGCGTTCGAAACGTCGGGTATTTAAAAAGTTAAATATACGCGATAAATTCCGTAAAAATTTGTATTATTTCAATGTGTAGTATTTGCGTAAATATAAGAAATCTTTAAGCACCTTTTTTTACTTGAACGCTTCCCTATTATCGAATAGCTAAAAATAATATTCAATTAATTTTTTTTTTGAATGTCTTTGATTAAAATTTTAATAAATTGCTTTAGCCACCGTTTACTCGGTCATCTCTTTTGTTAATTTAATTGGAGAACGATAGGGTTTCATAACCGTTCTTATCAATTAAGGTATTGATGAAATTAATAATTGTGTAAGAGATTCGTTAAAAGCGATTGCTTGATCACGGTTTTCATAAAGTAAGGAAAATAATATGAAATCATATTCGTTTATTTGTTGTTGCATAATGATTTCATCAAAGGTGCAACCGAATATAACTTATAGTATTTTTATAAGTATTATATCATCATCATCATCAGCCCTTCACAAGTTGACTGCTGAACATAGGCCTTCCCAAGGTATCCACAAAGCACGGCCCTGAGCCACCTGCACTCATCGACTACCTGCATGCCTTACCAGGTCGTCACTCCATTTAGTGGGGTGTCGCCCTACACTTCACCTACCAGTACGAGGCTGCAACTCGAAAATCTTTTTACTAAACTGGCCTACCCATTGCCACTTCAGCTTACTAATCCGTTGGACTATATCAGTAACTCGAGTTCTACTGCAGATACCCTCATTTCTAAGTTTATCACGCAGAGAAACCCCGAGCATAGCCCTCTCCATAGCTCGCTGAGCGACTTTGAGCGTCCTCATATGGCCAGCAGTGAAGAAGCACGTCTCAGTTCCATTGAACATCACTGGCAACACGCACTGGTTGTATGCTCTCGTTTTCAGGTTTGGAGTTATAACTGACAAGAAGATGTACCGTAATTTCCCGAACGCTGCCCAGCTGAGTTGAATCCGTCGATTTACCTCTCGGTCGAAGTCGGACTTACCTAGTCCGTAAAAAATAGCTTGATTTAAATTTGTAGTTTCTACGAACACATTTATATTAAAACTTTATAGTATATAGGTTATAGATTCTTGGTTTAGGGAGGTTGCTCTGCCTGCATGTTTCTGCTAGTACGAATGCACTAATTATAATAGTGGTCGCAATTAGCAGAAGCAACACTTTTTGTTCTCTACACTCATCATACGAAACCCTGCAGCATAATATAGCTGCAGCGTGATTCAGATAATCAAAGACCATTTATTTTAGCAATTTTAAATATGGAACCCTCGAGCTAAATAGAAGTTAGTTATTTCAATAAGAGAGGAGCTTCAGTTTATTTATATTGTTACGAGCTTGAAGTTCGTGACAATAAAATTTGCCGATAAAATTACCTAAATTAACACTTTAATTTTCTTTACACAAATTTAAACTTAAAACACTAATAATTAAACACAGATTCACTTTATTCCGCTCTGAAGCTTCGCTTGTCTCGCCAAATTCAATACTACCCCGATCGCATATTGCAGCGCCTTTATATAGGGCTCTTCCACGAAAACATCCAGAATATTCCAGAATATTCGAGTAAATACGCGCGCCAACCAACCAAGCGCAGAAAATTCGAGTTCGGGGCTTCCAGAAAGCTTAGTTCTTCAATTCGATACTAGATGGCGCTGTCGGTTGAAAGATTAGTGATGTCATTTTCAATAGATGGCCCTAGTGCCAGATGTCAACTTAGCCGCGCAACACTGCCCCCTCCTAAGACATGCTCGTCCCGAGCATTAACGGCCCCATAATAACGCGCCAGGCGATCCACATGGACGATCTTAGGAGTCCCTCTTGCGCCTTTCTGTATCCGGTAGGTTACATCGTTGATCCTGGTTACAATCCGGTACGGGCCGTCCCATTTAGCTTGAAGCTTAGGAGATTTCCCTTTGCTGCGGACTGGATTGTGCAACCACACTAGTGAACCTTCGTCAAAGCCTTTATTGTTCATTTTGCGGTCGTACCGGGTTTCATCCTCTCAGACATTTGCTGGCCCGATTGTCTGACGTGCTCATGAATGTCATTCATTTTGTTCCGCAAGTCATTTGCATAATCGGTTATAAGGTCTGCAGGCAGCCGTAATTCTCTTCCAAAGTTTGCGAAAGCTGGTGTCACTGGTGTACTTTCGTGAACAGCGCTTCGATATGACAACAAAAACGGTTGTATGTGCTTGTCCCAATCTCGTTGCCGATTGTCTACAACTTTTGCAAGGTACCTCTCCAATGTCTGATTAAATCGTTCTACCATTCCATCAGATTGCGGGTGATAAGAAGTCGTTCTTGTTTTGTGAGTACCCATACTCGGCAAGTTTCCTGGAATATTTGAGACTCAAAATTCCTTCCTAGATCGCTGTAAATCTCTAAAGGTACTCCAAAACGACAAAAGACTTTATGAACTAGCTTATCCGCAACTGTTGAAGCTTCTTGATTTGGAAAGGCGAAGACTTCTGGCCACTTAGTGAAGTAATCCATCACAACCATGAAATACTTGTTACCGCTATCACTCTCCGGAAACTGTCCCGCCACGTCAATGGCTATTCTCTCCCATGGTGCACCAACATTGTACAACTTCAATGCACCTCTACTACGAGTATGAGGTCCCTTTACAGCCACACAACTTGTACATTTGCGACACCAGTCCTCGACATCGTTTCGACAGTGGACCCAGTAAAACCGTTCTCGGATCTTCAGTAGAGTTCGTTTAACTCCGAGATGGCCTCCTGAACAATCATTATGGTACTGCGGTAGAACATCCGGTACTTTAGCTTTAGGGACAACGATTTGCAAATGACAGCTGTCTCCCCGATCATTTTCCCATTTACGACACAGAACTCCATCCTGAAGCAGCAAGCTGTCCTACTGGGCCCAATAGCTTTTAGTGGTCGAACTCATCGCTGAGACGTCACTCCACTTGGGCTTGGGAGCACTGGCCTTTATCCATTCCAGAATCGGCGTGATGTCCGGATCTTCTTGCTGTACATGTAGTAAGCTGTCCTTCCACTCGTTGCTGAGGTGTCTGCCCTGAGCATCCTCACGGATACCAGTTCCTTACTCTCTTTCCTAGTACAATGTTTGCAATCTTCAGGACAAGGTCTTCTTGATAATGCATCTGCGTTGCCATGAGATTTCCCGCTGCGATGTTCGATCTCAAAGTCGTATTCCTGCAGTAGTACAATCCACCTCGCAACTTGCCCTTCTGGGTTTTTAAACTGCAATAGCCATTTTAGTGCAGCATGGTCAGTTTGTAAGTGAAATTTTTATCCCAGAAGATTTGAGATTGCTAGCAATTCGCGTCTTGTGACACAATAGTTCCTTTCCTGTTTTGACAACGACTTGCTTAAGTACGCTATCACGACCTCTTGGTCACCATTCCGTTGAGACAACACACCGCCAAGTCCTATATAACTTGCGTCTGTGTCAACTATAAATTCTTTGCTTGCATCAGGGTATCCCAAAATAGGTGTTTTGCACAGACGGTCCTTGAGCTCCTGGAATGCGATATTGCAACTTTCATCCCAGCGGAAAAGTCGCTTCTCCTCGATTACCTTATGAAGACGTTTGGCTATATCTGCAAAGTTCTTCACAAACCGCCGGTAATAGGAGCACAAACCCAAAAATGCTCTAACCTGCGTCTTGTCTTTTGGAACCGGCCAATCCTTGACAGTGGTGATTTTCTCTGGATCCGTGCGGATGCCCTCTTCCGATACTACATACCCCAAAAAGTTAACTTGCCGTTTGAATAGTGAACATTTTTTCAGACTCTTGAGGTTGAGGTTGGCACTCTGAATCTTCATGAGCACACGTTCCAGATTTTGAAGGTGTTTCTCAAACGTATGACCTACGATGATGATGTCATCCAAGTAGACCAGAGAGGCATCGCCAATTAGCGGTAAGTACAAGGTTCCATCAGCCTTTCAAACGTTGCTGGAGCATTGCACAACCCAAACGGCATTACTTTAAATTGCCACAGACACTTTCCCATCGCGAACGCAGTTTTCTCCTTGTCCTTAGGGTCAATTGCAACTTGCTAGTAGCCACTTTTTAGATCCAGCGTGCTAAACCACTTTATTCCTGTAAGCATGTCCAGCGTGTCATCAATTCTTGGCAAGGGATAGCTGTCCTTCTTCATAACGTCGTTCAGACAGCGGTAGTCAACACAAAACCACATGCTGCCATCCTTCTTCTTTACCAGCACCACGGGTGAACACCATGGACTAAAGGAAGGTTCAATAACACACCATCCTTTACCATTCATTCAATCATGGTTTCCACTTCCTTTTCTCGAGCTACCGGCAATCTTTTTGGCCGCTGACGGATAGGCAATTTTTCTCCTGCGTTTATTTTGTGTTGAACTAAGCCAGTCTTTCCTATGTCAGTATCGTTTGATGAGAATACATCGGCATACTTGAGTAACAACTTCTCCGCCTTGACCATTTCGTTCGGGGAGAGAACGCTGCGACAGTCTTCCAAAAGTGCGGTTAGTCTCGTTTGTGCATCCTTGCTGGGGGTCTCACTCGATATATATTGGCACCGACGTAACCAATCTACTTCCTCACAAGTGCCAACCGGAGTGCCTTTTTCTATAATCTGTTCCCGGTCACAAAGTTTCAGCACACGTACTCCTGAGATGCCAGTGGTTCTGACCAAGGTTCGAGCTACTTTCCATGGAAGGTCATTGTTTACCCTTTCCACAAGTACACAACG